ATGTAAAACAGAAATGGAGAAGCTACAGTATACGTCCAAGTTGTTCGTAATTTGTTTTAATACAGAGTAAAGGTGGGATTTAAGCACTGTGTATGAGATATTCTGCTCTCTTTCACCTCAGTTGTTGTACAAAAACCTGCAGAAGTATTTAATGAGTCTTAGTTGCCATCTCAGTGCCACAAGCAATACAGAACAACATTTGTCCTTAATGGTGTTGTGAGCTGCAGAGATGGGTACTTCAGTCATTTGCACTGGCTGGATACCGATCTGTCCAACCAACCTTTTCAAAACTTATTTAAGGCCAACAACAATTTTATTTTTTATTATTTCTTTTCAGATGGATAATTATTACTCTTCAGGCTTTCAAACCTAATTGCTTTTAAAAAAAGGTGCTGCTATTCTGCAGTTCATGCGCACAAACAGAAAGCATTTAGTGCTGAACCTTCTGTGACTCCATAGAGTTGTGTTGGCTTGCCAGATTTATTCATATTTATTTTGTTCAATATTTGCTAAATATTTTGGAGTGGACGTCTAGACTGCTTTTCTCAGTTTTTATTGTTAAATTTGAATTTTGCAGAAAAATATACATGAGCTATTAAGCTGATTGTTTTTGCTAATGGTTTTATGCTGGAGGAAATAAGAACACCCAGAGTTAACGCAAACGACTTCAACTGAGAGACAAGATTTTTTTGCACGATGTTTGTTAGCTAAAGGCCCAAACTAGATGCAGGAAAGCAGCTTTTCCATGTGCACGGATGCCAAAATTATTGCAGTGATGTCCTCTCCTGTGCGCATGTGCTGCATTACAGGGTCAGTTTCTAAGAACTCAGCCCAATCTAAACATCTGTTTCTCAGACAGCTTGATTGAAGGCCAGAAAGGAGCCTGGTCATTCAAGGGTGCTTGAAATGAACCTTAATAGCTTCCAGGCCCAGAGAAATCTCTGTGCTGCTGCCAGAGTTATCTGCAAAGGAGGGGGAAGAGCAGGCCTCAACTTTTTTTTTATGTGACTAAATTATCCACCATCTGCAGCAAAGCTGTTGCCACATGGCTGTGTTAAGAAAATGGGAGGCCCTTAGCTCGTATGAGTTGGTTTGGGAATCACAGAGAAGGTGGAAGTGATTTAATAAAGACTGAACAGGCAGGCATAATATTTCTGTATGTTTTGTTTATACATAAATACATATTTTAAGAAGGTTTATTTCAATTTTGTGCATTCAAAAAATTGAGCTATGAGAATGTGAAGTATTCTGGAGACAACACAGATGCATTGCTTTTATTTGAATTCCCTTTGTTTAAACTTAAGCAGTAGTATGGCGAGATTTGGGATAAGGATTATCTTTACCTTTTAACTGCTCAGAAATTACTCTTTTTATATGTTTTTGTCAGTTGTTGTCTCAATTTAAAAAATCTATATATTTCTTAGAATTGTAAGAAAATTTGATATATATTTTTTTTACTTTATTAGTATAATCAAAATGTGCTTTATAAATAAACCCTCAGTAGTGTTTTATTCCTTCTTTGTCCTGCTGTCCTCAGATGAAATTGTGCATTTTTTCAGCATACCCCTTGAGAAAAGGCAGTGGTTTTTTGGACTGATTTCTTCTGCAAAGAGTATGGTTTTGATTCTGTTCTGTTAATTTGCAACGTTTAGTTGCTTCTGAAACATACAGATCTCTGTCTGATTGGTACCTTACCTGTCTCATGGCTAATTTAAAGAAAAGAACCTGTATTTCTGAGGTCATTGGAGCCAATAATCCAGCAAAGCAGAGCATGTTTGGCCGGAACCAGCTTTAAAGGAAAGAACTTGGTGTCCAGGTGGATTGAGCAGGACTGAACAGTCAGTGTGATAAAGGTCAAAACGCAGTGAGCTGAATTCCTTAGTGAGATCTTAAAGAAATGATATTGACACCTGGGTCACTGTCACAGAAGTAGTAATTGGACAGTGCCAAGAGTGGAGCAGCTGTGTGACTGTGCAGGTGACAAGCAGTGCCATAGACTGCCCAGAGTCTGCAGAGTCTCCTCTTGGAGGACGTGGGCATCCGCCTGCTCCAGATGTCTCTGCTTGAGCAGGGGTGGGCCCAGATGGACCCAGAGGTCCCTGTCCACCTCAGCCATCCTATGATCTGCCACAGCAGATTGGAGCTGCTCACTCTGAGATGTAGTGAGTGCATCATGTTAATGTAGTCATTTATCAGTGCAGCTGTATTACTTAGTCGTAAGTCATAACTTTGAGCTGTAGTTTTCTTAATTTCAGTGTATGTATTTGTATGTATTTCTTAGAATAACAGGAGTTTCTGAGTTCTGTTTGATGCTTCCCTACGCTACCCTAAATTGCTGATTTTAAATTTTATTTTTATTTGCTTCGTGATACAATCGTATAAAATTTCATTGAAAGCTGTTGCTTCAGGCATCCGCCCCTTCTCTGAGGTTTTTGTGCATGGCTGTAATGATCACTGATGTAATGTTCTCATTTGGGAAATGGCGTCTAGATCCAAGTTATGGCAGATAAAATTGTTTTGACTTGAATTCTCGCTGCTGCAGTGCATGACAAAGCTCTCTTGAGGTGAGCTGTTCTCCTTGCATGATTTGTCTGATCTGCTGCTGTCCAGGCAGCTGGGAAAAGACTTGTTTTTTTATGGTAAATGTTAGCAAAGAAACATGAAGGAAAGAATGTAACACTTGGCTTTTGTCAGCTTAATAGTATCAAAATAAGCCTGGTTATGTTGTATCTTCTTGTAGGACTTGGTAAGTCCAGAGTATAAGGCAAAGAGCTTTAATAGCCTTTTAACGTAGGGTGCAGATTTGGTTTTGGTTTAGAAACGCAGAAGCAACATGAAGATTTTTTTGGTCATTTTTCTCAAAAGTGTGTAAAGATTTCTTATGTATATATGTAGATACTGCTTAGTGTTACTGTCCTGAAAAGGTCTTCTTTTCATCAGTGATGAAGAACGATACAGATACAGAGACTATGCAGAAAGAGGCTACGACCGCCATAGGACAAGCAGAGAGAAGGATGACCGACACAGAGAGAGGAGGCACAGAGAGAAAGAAGATACAAGGCACAAATCATCTCGAAGGTTTGATTTTTTTTTTTTTTTTTTTTTTTTTTTTTTTTTTAAACAGGATAATAAAGACTTAACCAGCTTAAAAAATATTTTTTTAAAAGAACCCCAAACAAACTGGAGTTTTGTGGAAAGACTGTAAACACTTAGACGTACTACTTGGAACAAGTCTGCTGTATAAAATGTGGACAGCGTTGGTGCAGGGTAACTTCATATTGATGCATGTGGCTGTCTTGGATAGTGAATAGAAATTATAAATTTGTGAAAAAAAAATCTAAAATGATGGGTGAGAAAGAGGTAGAGTGAAGCTGACATTCATCAGCATTAACACACGAACGTAGTGAAATAACTCTTATTTTCACTCCATAGGAATTATTCATTTTGATCCTTTTTGAATTAGAAATTCAGGCAGAGGGGATGAATGAGAAGTTAAACTTTTAGGGATACTAATAGGAATGTGACATAACTAGAATTACTACTATTAGAATATGGGTTGCAAATCTAAAATTATTCAAACATTGCAGTAAAAATAAAAAATACAGGGTGTGTGAAAGTACACGACACTACTTAAAAACTTCAGCTTGATTCTGATATCCAGCTACTATGTGGGACAGAACAGGAGAAGGCGCCAGTTTTCAAGTATGAACGCAAAGGCTGTAGTTTTCAGTACTCTAATGAAGGGGGGCCAAAATGTCATGCAATTGCTGGAGGTGTATTTTCCCTCTTTTTATTTAGTAACAGCAGGCGCCGTCACGACAGTGAAGAAGGGGACAGCCACAGAAGGCACAAACACAAAAAATCCAAACGAAGCAAAGAAGGAAAAGAAGCCAGCAGTGAACCTGCTCCTGAGCAGGAAAACACTGAAGCTGCCCCCGCAGAATAGGCTTGTGTGGTTTTTGCCTATTCACATAAATATTAGTGCCAGAAATAGATTACTATAAATCTTGTTATTTTTCTGGTTATTAAAATAATTTGTTCTTAATCTTGTTCTGTTAGTACAAAATCAAAAGTTACTTGGTTTTTCTTTTTTTTTTTTTTTTTTTTTTTTTTTTTGTTGGTTGTTTTGTTTTGGGTTTTTTTGGGGGGGTTGTTTTTTGGGGGTTGGGTGTTTTTTTTTTGTTTTTTTTTTTTTTGGAAAATAAAAGAATAAATTTTTCAGATTAAGATTCCTGGGCTGACTTTCACTTTTAAGAAGCATCGCGAAAACATCTTACAGCTTGAAAATGGTGCTCTTTGAACACGTGTAGGGATTTCAAACTCTTTGTGTTTGATCGTCTCCTTTTTTTGTGAGCCGGTGGGAAGGTCATTCTTCTGCTGGCTTTAGAAGCAGTGTGCACTCACTTTATTATCCACCAACATCTGGAACAGTGTGAGTTCAGTGTCGCTTTTGGAGGTCACATTTGAAAAGATCATCCTTTACTGCAGGGACAGGAAGAAAATTGCAGACTCTTCAAGAGCTTTATACTGAAGCGTAATGAGAACAAGAGGGAAGGGGAAAGGTGCAGACTGTTCTCAGTCTGAGGGAACACTGAGTGAGCGTGGTGATCATACACTTGGTAATTACATCTGGTTTGTGTGGGTGCGTAAAGAAGAATTAAACTGGATAATCATCCCTGCTGCTTTTCAGTGGCTTAAGAGAAAGTTCATTTTAGTCTCCGTGCTCGGGGACAGCTGTGCCTAACGTGATAAAGATGAACAAACACAGCCTCTCCGCATTGCTGGCTTTTAGGAGAAAAAAAAATAAGACTTTGAAAAATGAGCATCTTGCAGAGAAAGGCAAAGAACTATTTTAAGAAAAGAATAACAAGTCCATCATCACTTTTTACCTTCTAGCACAGTGACAAGTGAGATTGGTACAGCATCACAGCAGAAGTTAAACTTTGTCATCAGGGTACCGGTTCATTTTCTTTTGGATGCAAATAACATCTGTACAAGTACACAGTTACAGTTATTTTTAATAATTTTAGAAATTCACAGCTTTACAGAATAACAAAGGGTACTTGAAAGTCTTCAAAATATCAGCTTCATGCTGACCCAAAAAGGTACACATAACCAAAGTGCTATTCATGTGTTGGATAAAAATCTTCACCTGATTTTTGCAATTAGAAAAATTGCAAGGATTTTTTCCATAGGTTATTCAGGGATTTCTTTTCCTAAATCAAAATAAAGTGGGTGAGCAGGAGGTGCTGCTCCCTGAATTTCATTATTATTATAATGCATTAAATAGATATATATAAAAAAAACAAAAAACCAAAAAACAAAAACTTGTGGACATGGGGAAGGAATAACTTAAGTCTGTAGCTTAAATCACTCTAAAGTGATTCTTTGACACGTGCCTTTGCTTTGTCTAAACTTGGCTTTTCTTGACATGCAGGTTGAAATTTCACAAACCATTTCTTTATAAACACATATTTGGCCTCCCAAAAAGCAAAGATGGCTGACAGCTGTAGTGTTTCTTGTTTCTGTTTGCCTTTCTTCTGTGTTAAATTACTTCTTGAGATCTCCATGAAGATTTGTTTTATAAAAAAGTGCCAGGCCAGGAGGCAATCGTGAGAGTAATTTTTCCTTTTAGTTCTTTGAGCATCCTTGCCAAGCAGGCGTGCATCATTCCTGATGTGTTTCTGCCATTGACAGCGAGGAGGATATCTCCACATCTGAAAAAACAAAAGGCAAAATATGAGAACATTAAACAAGGGCACTTCTCCTTGGACAGTGCCTAAGTATGTCCATTCATTGGGAAGGAGAAGTGTCACCATTATTTTCAGGCTCACCGCTGTTCATGAATAGGGGAACAGAGCAGCACAGAGCAGTGTCCTGTCACTGTCTACCCAAGGAAAAAGTTGATTCCCCTCCTTTTTATAATCACCTTTTAAAGACTACGTAGTATTGTGGTTGGATGGTTTTGTTGTCTGGTTTGGCTTTTATTTGAGCTGGGGGTGTAGAACAGCTGCTCTGCTGGCATTCTGTTTATTGCCCTAGAAATCAAACTGATGCATCTTTTACTTATACTAGAGATTGCTAAGAAAGCCATCCAGAAATATTCTACAATGAAAGTAAGTCTGTTTAAGTTCAGAACACGTGTCCTGTTTTCAGGGCTTAATTCTGTACTCCACTGAGCTCACTAGAAATTTTTAATTTGTTAATATGCTTGTCTTCCTATCTGTCAGGGGATTCCTTTTACTTCCCCGTTCACAGCATTCAAGCAAACCTTGTTCAAAAATCTGGATGAATGACAACTTAGTGAGAAGTAGCATTTCCCATTACCTGATTCTTCCATCGTTGTATGCTGGTGTTCCCCCAACAATGGATTTGATAAAGAAAGGTTTGTTTCCACTGTGTTCTTCGTAGCCTCCCACAATGCTGAAGCCAAGGCTCCCGGATGTATTTCTTCGTAATACAATTTCTTTGCAGCTGTACAAATACCTGAAACAAAGCAGTCTGATTAAATGTCTTACAGCTAACTCTGGATTAATGAGGCATCTGCCTCTTCATATGCTCATACAGTGTTTTGAAGATGTGAAATAACAGCGAAGTTCCCTTGCAGTAAACACTTGCCGTTTCCTTCTTTACTTCAGTGCTGCTTTCCACTACCCGTTGTGCTAGAAGTGAAACAACTAGCTCATCTTGAATTTAGAATAATAAATCAGTAGGTTCACATGGTAAGATTTAATGGAAATGTTTTAGTTACGACTGAAAGTGATGAAAACGCTCTCAGACTGGATTTAATATTTGTAAGCTGTAATTCTAGAAACTGTATTTCATTTGCCTCATACAATCCAGTGACTGCTTTTATCTTCTGTGTGATTAATTGTATCAAAAGTAGCCAGGGATTGAGAACTAAACAAAAATCCAAGGCCAATGCATTGTGCCAGAATTACAGCAGTGGCAGAGATCACACAAAGAACTACTCCAGGAAGAAGGAATCCTGAGCTTTTCTTGCCAAGCAACATGGTGAGTTGGAGCACGGAGGATGAGCAGATCCCATTCATTTCAGTCAGTCCACTGGAGTACTGAGTCTGCTGTTGGAAACAGACTGTAACAACTATCAGTATTTTTGCTAAGTGAGCTGCAGTCTGCCTCTAGTCCAACTCCCCTGCAATGAACAGGGACATCACAGCTAGTTCAGGTTGCCCAGGGCCTGATCCAGCCTTGAAAAGTCTCCAGGGATGGGGCATCAACCAGGTTATGCTTATTCAATGCTTAGCTGAAACAAAGAATAGGGGGAAGTAAGAGCAGCGTGGGGATTAGACTCTTAAATTTTGCGTATGGCTCATGAGTGCATTACTTAGAATGCCTCTTCATTTTAACCCATTAAGAAAAAAAACAAATAAATTAGTTGCAGAACAAGAGACTGTCCTTAATTCTTAATCCACTCATCATTATCAGTTCGCCCAGGAATGACTGAAAAGCGTGAAATCCTTTTGCTATTCCACATCCAAACGGACATGTTGGCCTACAGCAAAAACTGCAACAAGCTCTATTCAGAAACACTTCAGGTTTCTAAGAAACAGCTGACCTTTCTTCCATAGAAGGATTAATAACCTTATCTCAGAGACCACTACGTCTAGTGTTTTTAAATTTTGCCAAATAATGCTTTTGCTGTGTTCACAGCAGGATTTTATAGTAGTAATCAATTAATCCCCCAGGGCCTACAAATATTCACCTGCTGCCAGGATGGTAGGTATATAATGTTTGTGCAGGCATTCACTGGCTGCTAATGTAAGAAACAGGTGACTTCTTTTTTTTTCTTTCCTCAGCAGCCAGGCATTAGTACTTTACCATCTGTGCACTTAAATGTGCAAAATCACTCAGGACCTCTGTGTTTGATGGTACTTATCAAGGTCATGACCAAGCAGTGCCAGGGCCCAGCTGGTAGTGCTATTATGCCGTGTTGGTTTGAGGGACAGGGGCTCTGCTGCCCAGCATGATGGTCTTTACCTAAGGAAACTGGAAGGTTAAATCTGTATGCTACAGAAAAACTGTCAAGCAGGTGAAGACATGAGGAGAGGACACAGTGAAGACATGCACTGTGTACAACATTCTGTAAAAACAACAGCTACACAGTTTCCATCAGTCTGGAAGGCACAAACACGTGCTATAAAGATCTATGCTAGATGTAAGTGAAATGGAGGATGCTTGCCAGCATTAGCATGTGCTGTACCTAATTACCAAGCCAAAAGGTATTTTTCTTTAATGCAGTGGCTGAGTTTCAGTTGCCCATTGCCCTTGCACCATATCTTGAATCAGAATAAACCAATGTTCTGATGTTACAGAGCACCAAACTTTCATTTCCTTTAGGAAGAACGAGATACATCTTGCTCCAGTATTTTTTGAATTAATTTCAGTGCAACAGTTTCTGATCATCTGGTGATGTTCCTACTATGCAGATTTGCAGGGACTTGCTGAAACCAGAGCAGAAAATCACTCCTACTTACCTGAAGTCAGTCCTGAAACCACCTGTCGTCAGCATGGCTGTTTTGTTCTGGAGATGGACCCCTATGTCCTGCCCCAAGGTCCCATTCCACCTATTGCCCCTTCAAAATGGAGTTTCACCTATAGGCTACAGGGCACAAACACGGCAATGTGCCACTCGTAAGCCATTCATCAATGCTGCTGGGGACATGAAAGTGATGCCAGGAGCCCAGCACATGGGATGCCAAGCTACATGCCAGGCTGTTCCTTCAGTGTACTGAGCAAAGAGCAGCCTGAAGGGAGGTATTTCATTTGGCTCTTTCCAGCTGCATAGTAATCAAGGCAAGCAAGAAGTGCCGCAGAGAGAAAATGAGAAAGTATTTACGTCAGCTGAAGATGCTTAGTGTGCCTGAGTAGATTAGTTTTCTGTGGTGGTGACCCCCCAGCCCAACTGATCTGACCCAGTTAAGCTACCATAACCCACTAAACTGCAAGTAGTCCAAAGTGAACTACCCTCTGTCTGGGAGTAAAGCTGTTTGCAGTCTTTTGCTGCTATCTGTAAGCATGCCAGTGGTCAAAAAGCTGAGGACAAGGAATAATTTACGTGTGAGCTGCCTCAGATTTGAGCCTTGAGGATAAGCAGCCTAGACACAGACCTATCATAAGAAATGTCACATCCAAGCATCAGTTACTGCTGCACAAGGAGTTTAAAATGGCCTGTTTTCAACAGCAATGTACAGTTTCCTCCTGTTACAAAGCGTAGGCAGCCCATGATCTGGGAGTCAAAGCCAACCTGGCAGCAGAAGAACAGCACCAAAAAGGTTGGAAAAACAGTTCACTTCCTCCTGCCTGCAACAGGGGAGCATCTGGCACCTGAGTGGAGCGAAGTTTGAGAATTGCACCCGTCGGAGCCTGGAGGGAGTTAATTTGGAAGAACTTCCCTCCCAGCTCCATGTTTTAGGCCCAGTACTACCCCTGGTTTGCAGAATGACTTTGGCCAACTCCTGTCTTTCTCGTCTCACTTTGCAGATGAACAAAAGCACTCGTGTGAAGTACTAACGCTTGTAAATGTTATGACAGGATGATCTATAAAGTATTTTTAAGTGCTAGCTGGGGAAGGAAACGTAAGGAGAGAAAAGAAAGGAGAGCAGGAACACAAGCTGGAGCGGGAGAAATGTCACAGGGCTGGGGAAATGCTTTTCACCAGCTGCTGCACATTATTTACTCTGTGCATTCTTAACAACATTTCCCTCCAACAATAAACGTGACCTGTCTTACTCAACAACAAAGAATTAAATTAGCTATCCTGAAATAAGTCTCCAGGCTAGAGTGCTTACGTTTCTGCATCACTGTTTCCTACAGCCCGCAGCCCCTGCGCCCATGCAGTCCAAGTTTTGACAGATGTCAGATTCACATGTGTGTCTATTTTATAACCACCCTGTGCTGGACTGTGCTACAGAAAGAACAGAGAAGTTGTTTACGTACTACCAAATCACAGAGAAAAGCTATTGAGGCCAATATTAAGACTGCCAAAATTCAAGTGAGTTCCGCAAACGTTGAATTGTGCAGGACAGCTTTTCTAAGGCTGTGAGCTTCAGTGAGGACAGATAACCTGTCTGTCTGATTCTGCTGCTACTGACTGTATCCAGGAGTTTTTCTCACATAGGTATGCACTGTCCATCTTCCCGAGTACCTCACGTGATCTCATACAGTGATGATTTTGACATTGCTACCTTACCACCAGCTGTTTCAGTTGTACTTAGATGCAGGCACTTTGGAGCAGTCTCTCTGGTAAATGGTATGGTTTTACTTCATGCTCCTTGCTCCTTGATTGCACACCAGGCACCTTTATTCAGACAGGCCTGTTTGAAGTGTGTATGGATGGAGGATCATTTTCTGTACCAGCTTGGAAATCCATGGGACTCATGGAAATACCTCAAAATCAGTTGGGCTGTGATCCTTGCCGAAAGCACACTGAAGGGCAGATAGGGAAAGGCTGAATGCTCAGATTGGAGGAAAACGAGCTCATATGATACTTTCATATGAGCATGCACTGTGGGGGGGAAAGTGAAGACTCCAACTGTACCTAATGAACAAATCCAGATCTGATCCTCACGTGCACCAACCATCTCCTGCTGAGGATGAAGTACACCTTTGTTACCATCACTCCTGCCCAACTCTGGCCCCTATCTCAGCCTGGTGGTGGGACCGGCATGCTGGACCAGCATACTAATGCCCTGCCCCGGGTTGGCAAAGAAAGGCCACAGTGTGCTTGCCATTGCAGCTGGGCTGAAAGCACAATGAGCTTCCTGTTTGCAAGCTTGCTGACACTGGGGCGGATTTTCCTTCAGACTAGACGGGTGGTAATGGCTTCACACATGCAGCCTTTGGAAGGGGGGATAGAGGGACCTCAGATACTGCTTTTAAATGAAGAAAAAGATACCTCCCTTTTCCTCACACACTTCAAAGCACTACTGATGGATGGGAATACCAGGTGCGAGTCTGCAGCACTGTGGAGCTCTGTCCTTCACCTCAGTCACCTCAATGAGGACGTGGGAACTTCGGGCAGCTGTGGGTAGGAGATGAAAAGCAGGCAGTTCAGGCTGTCTATGCAACAGAGCAAAGGTGCACTGACACCAGAAGCAGCAGGGTGCATCGCTTGTGCCCATTTAGCTATAGACTTGGAGGCAGGACTCAGCATCACAAAGCCTGCTCTGCTTGCCTCCTTCTCTACAGGGAACATTACTCATGCTCCAGTGCTGCATGTTATCACCTGTAAAAATGCAGTGGTCACACTCAGGAACGCAGAGGAAGCAAGCAGGAGAGATAACCTCACTATTTCTGCCTGCCTGCAGAACGACTGGGAGAGAAGAGTTCACCATTCCTGGGGGAGCCAGTGATAGGCTATTGGTTTTCTGCTTTTCCTTGTTACTGCTTTTCCTTCACAGTAATAAGAGTTCAGTCCACTCCACTGCAGGAGGAACCTCTCCTCCATTGGTGACAGGCATACAACCAGCCTGCTCTAGACGAAGGTATTAGCTTTAGATGGGCTCACAGAGCACATCCATGCAAGGCACCACTTGGCCATCAAAGCAGAGCTTGCTGCAAGGTGAAGGAGCTCAACATTGCTCAAGGCAAGAGGAGGAAGAGCATCGAATCTCTGTGCAAGTGGGAAGGTGAGGTCATGTCCTGAATTTGAGCAAGGCCCAGCTGTGCTGCAGACTCTTTCTTCTCACAAGACAAAGAGATTTTCTGAACCTCCACTGGCTTCAGGAATGCGGGTGGAAATAGCTAGTAGTCTGAAATCTTCATTCTTTGAGGCTGGGGAAGGAGGGTTTTGCATCCGTAGACTCGCAGCACGTCCTCAGATTGTACTTCACAAAATGTCTCTGAAGCTGCAGGTATACACTGTGTGCACCAACTGGGAGAGAACTTCACGGCATGCGACGTGGCTTTCATTATCCTTTCTGAAAGGACAACACAGCTGCTTCCTGCGTGTGACAAATGTGCTTCTTCCAGTCGGGGGTGGGGTGAAGAGAGGTGATTTGGAGATGCTGGCCAACTGTATGCACTGTGCAACATCTGGGCAAAGCCAAACAATCCAGCTGCCTTTGGCAAGGGAGAATGAAGGCTGTGCAGCTTGGGAGCAGCAGGAGGGGCAGCTCTGCCTTCTGCAGGGTGGTCGAGCCAAGGCCTCCATACAAGTTCTTCCTCTCACTCCCTAAGTGCCAGATACGTTTTCAGGACTGGAACAACTCAGGATACTTCCCTCCCTTGCGAGGGGATCTGCGTGTCTAATTTTCCATGTACACATACCCACTTACAAAGGGGAGGTATTTAGAGGAAAGTCTGTGACGGAGCCTGGATTTAATTAACATGTCAGGGCAATGAATCAAGCCAAAAAAAGAGAACTGCCAGAGAACACAAATCTTTCCTCCCACTCCCCTTCAGCGAGAGGCGGCCGCAGCCGGACTCACCGGGGCAGCCCCAGCCACGTCACCCAGGACGGCGACCACTCGCTGTGCTCGGCAGCCTCGCTGCGCTCCCGGCCATCACATGTCCTCATCTCCAGGGCCTTGAGCACCACTGAAGAGCTGGTGTTTTTCAGCAGGGCCACAGCCTCGTTCCGGCTGACCCCTGTCAGGTCGATCCCATTCACGTTCAAGAGGATGTCACCTGTGATAAAAAGAGATGGCTGAAAAGACCCTGCTGGTGTTGCTTAGATGCGTCCCCATTGATAACAAGCAAAATCCAGATCTAAGAGCTTGCTGTCCAATGAAGCTGTTGATGGCACCACCTGACCTACATCCCATAAGCGCTGTGGTTGTCCTTGCAGAGGGACACCCCTCTTCAAATCTGGGGTGCTCTCACAGCACCCATCTGCATCCCCCGTGCTGGCAGTCCCAGCACTGCTGAGTGAAACTCTCCTGTGGTCTGCCCCGGGAGGCAAGCAAAACTCTTAAGGCTGCTCAAAACCTTGGAAGCCTATGGTACTGTTGTAACATCATGTATTCATTTGTTTTCAATTTTATCAAATTAACCAGGCTGAATTTTCCATGCTGAGTTGTCTGCCTCACAATGAATCTATTTTTTAAAATATTTTTTTTATTTTTTGGAAAATGCATCCCACTGAGAGGCAGTTATTTCCCAGCAGGAGAAGAGGGGAAAAGCTGCCTGGTTGCTCCTGTTGTGTTGTCACACGCATGAGGAGAAGCTACAGTTCCTGCAAAACGAGATCCCTACATAGGCTGGGGTAGGCTGCAGGGCTCAAAAAGACCAATTCTCTCCTTGTTCTGACTGTCCTGGTGCTGTGAGGAGCAGAGTAATTCCTTCTGTGCAGTAAGAAATTCCCTGCAGCTTTGGGACAGTGTAACCGGGTGAAGCTGAGAAGACATAGCACCCCCAGAACAGTGGCATCTGTCACCATTCCTTTGCCCTCTATCAGTTCCTGCAAAAAAAGACTGAAAAAATATACCTCAGCTTGCTCCGGATGGCTTGTGCTCATGGAGGGGGAGAATCCATGAATGCCTCTGATTGCATCAAAAGCCAAATGGAGTTACAAAGCCAAAGTTTTTAGGCAAGATGTTGAGCCACAAGACATTAGCATTACTTCATATATGATGGGAATTCTGCACAGCTATCTCTCTTAGAGCTCATAAATTATATGACAACCAAGCTCAGAAATGTACATAAAAAAACACAGAACAATCACAAATGTTGCATAATGAAGATTTCAGCAGTTAGGAGATAGTGGTGCAGGCTTTTCCTACCACAATACGCCTACATTTCCCTTCTCAGAGGTGGTTGTTGCTGTGAATTATTACTTTTTTGGGGGCTGACTTGAGACCCTCTGGTCTGCCGCCTCCCAACAGAAGCCTCTGGGAAGCTGAAAGTGTCAGGGCATGATGGTTCTGCACTATCCCTGCTTTTTGAAGGAACCCTTTGAATTAAAGCAGGCTGCCAAGATCCCCATCTTTTTACCTGTTTTTATCCTGCTGTCTCTGCTGATAACTCCTCCTGGTTCAACGCTTATCACATAGATAGGCAAATCCCATTCTCGGTTTGTTGCTCCGCCTGCCACAGTCATTCCCAGTGATTCTGTGTGATCTTTCCTGACAGCCACCACCTTCTCATGACAGGTGACAGTGTGAAGAGTGCTCTGTGATGGCAAAAACAGCAACAACAAACACGGTGGGCAAGGAGACCCCCTGACAGCTTAAGCAATTTCTACTGAAGCAAGTATTCACCAGGAAATATTTAAGGAATACCAAAGTACTTGACAGCTGCTTGCCACTCCTGGGCTTAGGTTCTGCAGAGTCAGAGGTACAGCCAAAATAACCCACACCTTAAAGTCAGACACAGCCCCCACCAAACTCGAAAGTGTCTTAGCCATGAAACTCTGAGGAGTAGATCTTTGAAATATAAATATGGAGAACGATTAAAAAGAAGAAAGAAAAGTTGTTGATGCTAAGACCAGCTAGGACCACCACTATTCCTCACTTCTGTAATTATCAGGCTATGAAGAACCACATTCCTCTTGCAGAAGCCCTCTTGGAGCTAGAATAGCTGCTAAATGTATTTCACATGCAACCCCTGCCCCCTTCTCATTCACAAGCATGACCTCACACTCATGAGATGCAAAAATAATCTATAAATCTCATTTAAAGCCACATTAATCTCCTCCAATCAATTTCAGATCCCACAACGACATCCCACCTCGATTCCTGTGCCAGCAGAGCAGAAAGAGGAGCAGGCGGGCCTGTGCTGCTGCCACCACCAAGGTGGAGGAAGGGAAAGAGCAGCAACAGAGTTATATGGGAATAGAGAGGAAAAAGGAACAGCCTGGGTGAGAATTCTGTGGTGCAGGGACAGCGATGTGGAGTGCTTGCTTATACATAGTGCTGGAATGGCTTCATCTTTGGGGAAGCCGCAGACCCTTGGGAGCAAAAAGGCAAAGAAATTGGTGAAAAAGATCTCTTCATCACTGCAAGCAACAGCAAGCTGAGGCAGCTGTTTGGACACACCAACCTCTGTGTGCAGCACATGGGCACTGTGTCAGAGTCATTGGGTCTACAGCTTCCAACTGAACCTAAACATTTCTGAGGCTTTATGACATTCTCCTTTATAGAACATGGATGTTCCAATACAGCACATTTCAATCATTCCAAAGACCACATTTGTCTTCAAGGTATAAATGTTTTAAACACAGTAGAGTTCTGTGTCTGTGCAAACTAAACTTAACATTTCATCCACGTTTGCACAAAAAAATGTTGCCCTTTCTCCCCCTTGAAAGGGAATGGCTTTTTGTCAGGAAATAGTCACTTCCTGAAGAAAGTGAATGGTGGAAGGGAACTACTAATTTTCGCAACAATGCAGTTTGTAATTCTGTAACAAAATATGCAATTTTGATTTAGGTTGAACCCGAGCAATCCTGTTACTCTTGCCATGTCCATCATGTCGCAGGCACCACAAATGGTGGCTGATAAGCCAGACAGGGCTCTAGTTTTGAGGAATCAGTGTTTTCTGAACAGTGCTGGCAAACAAATTGTCCTGTTACATTTCAGCAAAGAATCATAAAAGCAGTGGTAGTTGTATACTCAAGCACGTAGGATCAGTTTTCCTTTGAAGCTCTATCCACGTCCTTTTACATGGCTTCAGATAGAGAGGAATTAGGGTGGTTCAGTTGAGACAAAGGCAGTGATGAAAGTGAAGCAAAGCCTTTTTTAGTAAACACACGTAGAGCTTTCCTGGAAGGACCACTGATAATGAGTAAACCAGTTGAAAGGCAGTGTTTATCAGTGACTGCATTTCGATGCATTCTCTTCCAAACAATTGTCCTCCTCTGTCATTTTGAAGCGACCTCAGAGGTCAGAAGAAAAATATAACAGTTCATTTTCTCCTTTTTAAAAAATATCAGGGGGTATGTTTACTGTAAAATAAATATTTACAGCAGATTATCACAACATCAAAGCCATGATGCATGTCTTGAAGGCAAAGTACATAGCTGTTTCTGGAAGATGCATTTCACCTGAAGGCTAACCTGCTTGTAAGTCCACAGAATGTCTCCTGTTTAAGCAATGGGACAACTTAAGTATTACTGGGCATTTAGTGAGAGTGGAGCAAGAGATCAGTTCCAATTAAAAATAAGTGTTATTTAATTAATGGCAAAGTTCCCACTGACTTCAAAGAAATTAAATCTGGCCTATTTCTTCATTCCAGCCCTACTCAGCAGCCTCTGCTGCACAAGAGAGTGATCCTGACATCTCTTTTCTGAATCCAGGCAGAAGCCACATCCCCCCACCCTGCAGACCAGAATATGGTTTACAAGGCCCGAAGTCTCCCAGCACACCACACACAGCCCATCACTGCCACTGCAAAAGGAGGTGGCATTACATGCCCAATTACCATCCGTACCAGCCTGAAAGATCTGCCTTCTCACACTTTCCGGACAGATGCAAGTTGATGGGAGGGCAACAGCTTGGCCCAAAGTGATTTCTCAGCCCCTGTATGAACAAGGTGGCTGCTGGAAGCTGGAGTTCACTCTTGGCACCAAATGCAAGGCTTGCAAGACTTGTAGCCCATACTTATGTACATGAGAGCTGCTTCCCTCAAAGAGAGTGTTCCTGACATGCTAACACCACCCACTAAGGTGAGGCCAGGGAAAAAAATAAACACCTAAAATCCATAAAAATTCAGGTCAGTTAGCAATAATTCTATCCATCACATGTAATAAGGCAATGCCACCAATGGCAGCAGGTAGCAGATCCACCAAACCACACACACATAGCAAACTCCCTTGGTAGTAAACTGCAGACAATATGCATTGCGCTGCCTTGTGTGTGAGAAGGAGCACATGCTGCACTTGGACACTGTGCAGACCCTAGGCCTGCAAGCATTATGCCTGCACTAATGTCTGTTTTTAAAAAAAATAACATTTTAAGCCTGCCAAAGCTTAGAGTTTAAAGAACTTGAATTGCAAATGATGCTCAGTTGAACCTTCAGCAAAAAAGCAGGAGAAATTCAAACTGACGTGCTTGTACTCTATAAAAGGGCAAATAACACTCCAGTAGTGATTGTATAATCCCCAAAGCCCTCAGTGTCTGAAGATAATTGCGTCCACTGGCTGTACTGATCTACAGATCTATTGCCAGAGCATCTTCTCTGAGACAGGCTCTCCACTGCCAGCACAGAGACAAAGGGAGGTGGTAGTAGCTCCAAGCTTTGTTTCCTGGCTCTGATCTTACCTGGACAGTGCCCCAGCAGTGGCACTGGGCAGAAGCCCACAGCATCCCACTCACGCTCTAGTGGGGCGCACATCTCTTGAGGCAAACTGGAAATCCCCCCACAAGCCATGGTCTATTCAACAAAAGATGATTTTTTAGCCTTAGAGGGACAGTTGCAAGGTTAACACTGACCTGCTAAGCTTATAGATCCCCCCAAATAATGTTGAATTTACCAGACTTGTCCAATACCTCTTGATATAGGAAGAGAAAATGATCTCTGGGACCTGGGGCAGGGATCTAGGGCAATGTATGAAAAACAAGCAGTGTAGTCCCACATGGTATCAATTAATCAGATCTCCATGGTAGAACTAGCAGGTGCTCCAAGCATCACTAGAAATCATATAGCAGCAACATGATATAATTGCTGTCCTACACATATCTCCCTAAGGAAAGCATTACTTCATTAGTAAGTAATGTTTTGCAGATGCATGATTAACTGGGCACTACTGCTACCGGGCAGTGGCTACCAGGCATTGACTGCTCCATGATTTAACTCCTGCTGATCCTTACCGAGAGCTGGGACTGAGACTTCACAGAAAATGAAACTAACAGTAAAAATACACTGCTATATTTTTTACTCATTAAAAACACTGACTAAATGTAGTGGGTTTCTTTATTTGTTTGTTTGTTTTTTTAAAGGAAGCCTGCAAAGATTGAGTATCATTATGCATCTGTAATGCAGAGCTAGGCTCGTCTCCTGGCTGATAGTTGTGTACCCAATCTGGCATCTGGTTCAGCCAAAAGGTCTCTTAAGGTGCACTTCTGGCTGCCCATCAGGCAGGATGGATTTAAGCAGCCCTGCTGTTTACCTTCCTGACACCCCCCTGGGGAAGGGGCCAAGGACTAGCTTGTGAGGCTTTGTGTAGGGGTGACACTCAGAGTAATTGACATAAATTAACCAGGAATGTAACTTAAATTTAGTGAAATAAAGAAATTAATTTCTGCAAGGATGTTCTTGCATACAGTAAAACTATGTTCAATCTACTGTAGTTAATACATAGTATTAAACAAAAGCCACTGCCACTCATCAGGAGCACCTCCATACAGCACTTTAATTTGGTCTGAGTGGCATCACTCCTACTTACAATTATGACTTCAGATGGGTCAGAGTCATTTTCTGAATGCAGGCAAGTCTTTAAAACACAGAAGAGAGCACCTAAGCCCCTCTGACACAGGCTGCCATTTTCTAGACCAACACCATACTCCTTTGTCCCTGTCCTTCTCAGCCCAAGGACAAGACCTGGATACCAAGATACTTGCAGGGGAGGGCACTCCCAGTGTTTCTGCTGTAAAGATGACATTCCCTGGGGTCATACAGTAGTGGTACAGTCAAGCACAAGCTTCCAAAACCGGCACATTTGGTGTCCAAATCCAGCAGAACACTGGTACGCTTGGCATGGCCAGTGAGGACCTTCCAGCTCTTGAGCTGGGTCAAAGCATTTGTAGCTTAATAAACATTCAACAGATTAATAACTACTGTAACTTCCAAGAATCTTATAGGAATCTCTTAGATCAACCTATGAAAGCTGTTTCCTGCACACATTTCTTCAGTTGGAGATATAACAATAAACCTCTTACAGTCATCGAAGCATGTTTCCCTGTGTGGCTCAGGTCTCTGCACAAGTCCAGCTCCACGCCCATCACACCACTGCCCCACCATCCCTCTTCACCTTCTCTTCCCCTTCTCACCTCAAACTGAGTGAGGGAAGAAACATTTTCTGGAGCACAAATGATGAGGAGCACAGTTTTATATTTCAATTGCAGAATAAGACACAACACTACTGGTGTCAGGATCCAGAAAGGCTATCCTGAGACCCACAGTCAGCCACATAAAGGTCCCCTCTCCCAAGGACAGCAGAGCAGATGTGTCCTCACCTTACTGGCACTGATCCTCTCAGCAGGACAGGGCTGGAGGCTGCTGCTGTAAATCCATCCCGTCTCCTGCAAGATGTCGGGGGGCTGCTCTCTGGTCTGCCGCGATATCACAAAGTGGACATGCCGCTCACTGGCCTATGGGAGGAAGCACAGGATGAATCCCATCACTTTGCTGCAATGACCCAGAACAAGCTGAACAGGACTGCAAGTAGTGACCTGACCCATGATAATGCAATCACAGTTCATTCCTTGTGTCCTCCTGCACGCACCAGGGCAGACCAGCAAGGTGCCTGCTGCAGGAGAGACCCCTGCACAATTAGTGCTGTAACGAGGAGCATGATCCAGCTTAGGCTGGTGAGGGTGGAGAATAACAGTGCCACAGAGTTCATGTGTATGTAACAGCACAGCAGATGTAAGGCAGCTTGAAGAAAGGGATGCGTCACCACTTGAAGAGGTAAAATCCTAGTGTGGCAGAACACAGAAAAAGAGAATGAGAAGGCACAAGCAAGTGCATAGAGTAACAGCATTTGGTCCCAGAGGGACTCCTGTCTGCTTGTGTGGGGGTCATTATCAAGGATCTAATTTGGAACCCCCACCAAGCATCTCTGTACAGCTTCTGGCATGTCACACTTCCAGTGCTTGCTAACCACCTCCTGCTCTCTGGGGAGGAGCTCCAAGGAAAGCTGCCATTGAATAAGCAGCTGGAAAACCACCCCAGATCCAGTTGCACTACTGAAATCAAAACTCTCATGGACAATCAAGAGATGCCAGGGGAGGCTCCTGGGATTTACATTTTTATAGTTCAGTTTGCTTTTCCTGTGGCTGGATTCAGTAGTACTGAGAATTAAAAATGCTTTTGAAAAGTATCACTAATGTTTAAAAAAACAACTTATCTCTACCAAACCTCCACATGCAAGTCTGAAATTTGCATGTCCAGCCATGCTATTTGAAGGTGTTACCTTGCTACCTCAGTAAAAAAAATGCAAATTTCTTAGCTATCTTACCTGCACTTTGGGAGATGCTAGGTTTCAAACTAGCAAATAATGTCTCCACAGCTTCATAATATATCATTTGGTATACACCTATATATATGTTAAAAAAACTTTCTACATATTTTTACCAGGTTTATTGTTACCAAACAATTTTACCAGCAACCTTGGGTATTCATCTGGCACCCAGAAGTAGGCTTCTATCTCTTGGGAGAAAGGAAAGCACCCCAAGGTCTCCAGTTTGTAAAATACTCAAAATATAGCTGAACAACACATTATCAAGTCTCCTAAGGGCATTTGACCCCATGAGAATACATTTTTCCTTAAAACAAACAACTTCAGTTTATGCAACTTCTGTTTAAAGCTCATCTGTTGCCACATGGTTGGTCTCAAAGTTGGCTATTTAGAGGAAGGTTGTAAACGTGACTAATTCTCTGAGGACCGACTAACAGAAGTTCAGCAAGAGTATTGCAACACTGCATTTGTCTCCAGGTCAGTCGAGTTAAGTAAATTCTCAGAAGTTAAAGTGTTTTAAAGAGCTATCCAAACAAGACGATTAGCTTTTGTATTTACATACTTCCATATACAAACCCACTACCGTTTCTACCGATCGGAACATTAATTACTGCTTCATTCTGATCTCTCCCCCTGTCCTCCCCCTTTACTGCTTGTTTTTATCAGTCCCTTCTCTGCTCTTCACACTAATGCAAGAATTAAAGAAATGAGGTTTGCTTTGAATACTTGTTTGAATACAAGTAAAAATGGAAACAATCTACTAGAATTAAAATCTGTGTTATGGCTAAAGCAAATCAAACATAGATTGGGAATACTCTGCAAAGCTTTGGCCTGAAAACTTCCTAAGGTCACTTCTGTGCCAGGCTGACTATTCTGCTGCTGCTTTTGGCAGATATTTCCCTGGGATAGCAAAAGCAGCCTGAAATACCTCCGGTTACCTGTGCTGTGACACCCAGTGCTGCTGGAGGTGCAGTGTTCAAACACAACAGCAGACAAAAGGGCTGCCTGCACTGAGGGGCTGCAAAGAAAAACCTCTGCACAAAGCAGGTTGGGAGGCAGGGACACAGTGACAACTTCCACGCAGTCACTTGGAAACGAGGCAGCTGTGCAGCTACCTTGGCCCAACCAAGCAGATAGGGCTGATGTCCTCACACCAACTGCCTACTCTTCTAGAACCTTGATCATTTTCATGTCACACCCACGTGAAACAGATGTGGGACATTATTTAGATTAAAAAGTGCCACATCTGACACAAGATTGTGACTAAAGATGACATGGCAAATGGGAAGCAGCGAGCTCCTGAGTGATACGATGTGTGCACATTCTTAATTAGCAGGTACGTGTTTTCTTTGTTTCAGTTCTTGTGATTGAGCTTCTAAACAGGCTGACACCTAACCTCCTGATTAACAACTGCTTTGCATATGCTGATGTATAATCATTACAGGACTGAAGAATCAGATTTTTCTCTATTATTCATTATTTAGCAGTCAAAACTAATCAGACTCCGCAGAAATGTGAAGTTCTCCCAGCTGTGATTGGCATAATAAACCACTACAACCTTTTATCATACCAGTGAACATTCATTCTGATTTTAAAAAAGCTAATCATGTCTTAGAAGCATATAGCACTGTTAATTTGAAGACCTTAACGTGCAGTGACACACTGAGATCTCAACAGACAGGGTACTGTTGAGAAATGGGAGGATGAGGTGAAACATGCTATGTAAGAAGCAAATGTAAAACATTTGTGGCCTCAGTATAATGGTTTTTCTCTGGCATAGCATGGAAACAGGAAAGGCAAGTGATAATTGATGAAAAAACATGGCAAAAAAAGACAAAGGATCCAAGAATTTTGTATTAGAAAAATGTGATTCATAGAGCTCACATCAGCTCAATCCTGGATGTTTGGAAACCTGAGTCTCCCCTTTGATGGGCATGTTGTTTAAATTCCCAGAGACTGGTATGCATTTCAAGCATTATTATAAATAACATCCACTCTTTGGAACCCAATAAGAACTTTGGTAGTGTTTTCAAACACTTGTGTGTGAATGGTCTCATTAAGTCATTTTTTCCATTTCATCTCAAGTCTACATGTGTTTTTTGCTTATGAGGCACTGTTGCCTTGTTTTGTAGCCATGAAGAACTGTTCCAAGAATATCAATTTTTTAGAAAGGTTTTCATTCCCGTCTCTGTTCCCTTTGGAGAATTTAACATCTCCCCAACTGCCGCCTTCTGCTCCCAGTTAGTGATCTACATAACGTAATCCAGAAAGATGCTGGACCAGAATTTCAACAACTGGCGTTATGCAAAAGGATGCGGTTTTGCTTCCCGGGCAGGACGTGCCTGCTCAGATGAGTGGGAGGCCCTGCTCTCAGCAGGAAGACAAGCTAATGGCTTTATCTTTACCTATGCCATAAACTTTTCAATGAAATTTGGCAAACAACCATCTGTGAACCTATGCTAGAGGGAGAACATTTGTCACAGAATGCATTGCATTTAAAGATTCTTTCAGCCAGACTCGTGTTACCCTGATTATACCCCCTGAAATGCGGAGCATCCAGCCTGATTCAACATCTTCGTATTCAGGTATGTGAAATTCTTCAATATGAGAACATTGTGCATCCCTTTAAATGAAATGTAAAGTTGCACAAGTACAATGACTACTATAAATAAGAAAGAAAAGCAACAAAAGATCCTTGGCTTTGCTTTTTATGTTGAAGTTTTCTTAAAAGGTAGGCTGTAAATAAATAAATTTAGTGAAAATGGTTCTGGAGGGGAAATTAGGCAGAAGTTCACTGATTCTGTAGCTGAGAAAGACAGTGACAGTTTTGTGGCAAGGCTGTTAAGTGCATCTGAAAGGCACCCCTTTGGTTCTCCATAAGGCTAAATTGAGATTTATAAAAACTACAGAACAAGATCCTTATTTTTCACCCCCAAAATATCTGAATTAATGCTGGATTTAGGTTAGAAATATCCACAAGGCATATGGAGTACCTTCAGTTGTAAGACCTGCCTGCAGGAAGTCACTGATGCTGCAATGCTCATCCCAAAACACGTCAGTGGTTGCCTTAGACTTCTCTAGTTTGTTCCCTTCTCCCCTGGAGGGAGTCAAGACCCTGCTGGACTCTGACATTGGGGTACAGGTGGGTTTGCATTTTGGCAGATACAGAGTATATATATAGATTCATATAATCATAGAATGGTTTGAACTGGAAGGGACCTTAAAGCCCACCCAATTCCAAACACCAGCTCAGACTGCTCAGGGCCCCATCCAACCCAGCCTTGAACACCTCCAGAGATGGAGCATTTACAGTGTCTCCGGGCAGCCTGTCTACCTCGCCACCCTCTGAATAAAGGATACGGAGATTTACATTGACCTGTTTTTTGGAACAAAGCCATGAAGTGAGCTGATTGCAGGAGGCATCATGGGGAGGAAAATGCACATATTCACCCTCGTGCCCGCAGTGACACCAGGGGTATTTCAGAGGTGCCAGTTCCCACCCTTGATGGGAAAGGAGACACAGCACACCTTCCCTCCCATTAATGCACACCTATTGATCTCGTCCCCAGCACCATTACTACAGATGGTGAAAATGCATCTCTTGGCTTTTGCCAAGTCCAGAAACAGTGCCCAAAGCCATGGTGACAGACCTGGATCAGCTGGGCTGCACTCTCCGGGCTGCCGTACCGATGGTCATGCCCATTGATGGCCAGGACCCGGTCGTTCTCCTGCAGCTGGCCATCACGGGCAGCCACTCCTCCGTCCAGCAGGTTGAAGATGAACACGCCGGGTTCATCGGCCCTGCGGACCAGCTTTATCCCTAGCTGCTCATCAGGGCTGCTTTTGTTCAAAATGACGTGGAAGCTGTCATCCCTGCTGCAGTGAGCATCGAGGCTGAGCCCGCTGCTTCGGCACCGGTACCGCTGCTCCCTCAGCACCGTGAGCCGCAGCACATGGCAGGGCTGCTTCAGGATGGACAGGGCATAGTGGTGAGGCACGTTTTTGATGTCCATGCCGTTCACCTGGAAGAGAGAGCTGTAAATCAGTGGCAGAAAGGCAATTTAATCTGAATTGGCATGAAGACAGCTGCTCTATTTACACAGATGTCTTCATATGAGGTGGTGTGCTTTGCTCCCAGCAGCGTGGTGCAGCACGCCAAGTGTGTGTGCAAAAGAGTCCTTCCTCCAAGGAAAGGACGCCCTGTACAGACACTTTCTGCTTTTCACACCCTTCCCCCCCCCCCCCCCCCCTTCTCTCAGCTCGGATAGTCTCCAGACATAACTGTTATTTCTCAACTTTATTATTGCTCTCCCCCAAGATCCAATATCCTTTCATATATCTTGGTTTTATTTCACTAGCTTCTGATTTCAGATCACCTTGCCAGCCCTTCCTTCCACTCCCACTACTTTCCAGTTGTTTCTCTTCATTATCTCTCAGCTGTATTACTAAAAGCAGAAAAAAAAAAAAGAAAAAAAAAAAGTGCCCCACTAATGAACCTCTAATTAAAATGGAGAAAAGAGCCTCAAGCAGAAGGCCAAAAGCACTGGTTATTTAGCAGGGAGTCATGCTTACACACCACACTGGAGTGTTGGGCTTTTTGTGTTTCTTTTTCCAGGTAGGATTTACCAGGTAGCCTTTCTTCTGAGTACTGAAACATAAAAGTAATGTAGCACCCTTTCAGAGCTCCAAGTCAAAGGGGCAGCTGGGAGAGCTGTTTTTGTTCACTGCTGGAGCCACTGTTCACAAGATACATGATTCTTAACCACCTGGCCTAATTCTTGCTCATCTGTTACACATTTATATAGATGCAGAAGTAGCAGCCAACGGCTAACACCTGAAGGCTGTTCATTTGTTCCTGGAGATTCCACCTGTGGTTGCTGATGGGGCAGCTCTCACAGATCAGAGCAAGCAGTGCCTCACGTTGTATGGTGCTGATGCAGATAGGACATAAGTTGACCAGGCCTCTGTCATCTGTTGTAAGTGGGATTTGAAGCAATGGAAACTGCACTAAGTGAGATTCAAATCCACAGCTCAGTAGAAACAAACAAACAAAAAAACAGGTCAAAAAAGCCTTGCTCCTGCTTTCAGAAGAAAATATTTATTCTGCTGGGTCAGACATGCCAACATCATGCTGCAATGCATTTTGGATCTGCCATGCTTGGCTAGGAAGTACAGAAGCCTGATAACTGAGTGGGAAATGCAAACAAATGTGAGTTACGAAAACAGCTGTGATGAATAAAATCATCACAGCATGCAGAGGAACCAGACTTCTTGCATGTATTGTTCAATCTACACACGGCAGCACTGCAAACCTTATGATCAATTTATAGTTACTCTTGGTCAGGATACAATTTTTTTTTTTTTATCTTGTACTCCCACTGTACTGTACCTTCAGTATCATGTCTCCAGGCAGCAATCTTCCATCTCTGGCAATTACTCCATCTCGATAAATATGCTGTATAATAATGTGAACCAAAGGAGTCTCGCTGCCTCCCACAATCCTAATGGCCAGGTTCTCATGGGGATCAGTCCGGTTGATCTTAATGCAGGTGATTTCACCATCTGGAATCAGGTGATACAATCTGGGAAAACCTGGAAATGTACATCGTAAGGTATTTATATGACATCTTGTCTTTGCTTCATTAAAGCATGCACCATATGACTTCAAGTACCTGTCAGTTACCCAAACTAGGTTTTATGCATTGATATGATATATACTACGTGTGCAGCAAAGGAAATGTATGTTTGCTTTAGTGAACTTGACGGGATCACTTTTAATGAATATATTCAAGCTTCCCTTCTATTCTTTTCCCCCTCAAAGCACAGCCTCAAACACTTGATGCAATCCAGACAGACGAAATGAGCTTAAGAAAAAAAATACAGTTATGCGTGCTAAAATTTTAAGGGAACAAAATATGATTTTAGCCACCAGACACCCCTCTGAAACAGGTCACAGCTCCTCACTGGCCCTAGAGAATATGGGCACAGACAAGCCAACAAACCCTGGTGGTCTGTGCTGCAGTGGGCTGCTGACTTTCCTCACTGCTAGTAGCCATGCAAACTTTTTTTTTTTTTTTTTTTTTTTTTTTTTGCCTTGAGCTTACAGAAAGGCAAATTTTCTTTGGCAATCCAAAGCAAACAGCAGTTTCCCTACCAGATCATCCTCTTTACATCATCCTTGAAGTCTAGGAAGCAAGAATATCTGGCTGTTACTGCAAAGGATCAGTATGAAAACCAATATACATTCAGAAAGGGGAATTTCAGAGGTGATCTGATAGATCTTCAAAGAGTTACACAAGCAAAAGTACTGCTGCTGGCCAGCCAGCTCTGTCAGTTCTAACAAAAACTTATCCTAAGCCTTGTTAAGAAATGTGAATTCAAATGAGAACATATCTGCTGCTATTGATGCAGGAGGTGACATTTCCACAGTATTGCCCATAGCCTCGAATAAATCTACACAGACTGGGTGGTATTTTCACAAATCTGTCCTGTGCTGAACCCAGACAACTCAACACTCTGAACTACACTCTTCATGCATGAAGGATGAGCCGCTCTACTTTCAGAAGCAGTCAGCCCTCCTGAACGAATCCGTTTTCCCAAGATTTTTCACATGTTATGAACCTGTGGGGTAGAAGGGAATGATGCTGACTGCTCAGCTGCAAGGGAAGATCTCTGCTGGCATTGGCAATCTGAGTGTGGGGAAGAAGGACCAACTGTGTGCAGGGATCCTGTTTTTTAGTTATAATGTGCTGGGGACTGCATCTCCTTCCAAACCCTATTTTTCAACTGACATGTTAGTCTGCACAGCATGTCTTGGGCAATTTTAATCCACATTCATCATTGAGTGAAATTCAAGTAAAAGCACTACTGAGATGTCTAGTACAGACACATCAGTCCTTAAGTGTCTTGTGACCCTCCACATGTGACAGAAAGCTTTTGAATTTCTGGTATAAGAGTCCACATTATGTGTAAACCTGCAAGTAGAAAAATGAAGTGCTAACATTTTTTCAATACTCTATTTTAGAAATTAAAGTACAGCAATTGCAACTGAATAGCAGAAAACTGTTAAATGAAAACTAATAGAGCAGTACCAGAGAGAGAATAAATATTTCCTACTGCAGAATTATCAGGCAACAAACCAGAAAGGCACCAAAAGTTCCTGGTAGAGATCGAGGGGAAAGAAAGAGTAGGAAAATAAAACCATTAATAAATACCACATTAAATCCCTTACCACTTCTTGATCATAGGCTCTTCGGAATGGGAAGCTGTCTTCCTCCACGTCTGCAAAAAGCACCTACCGGTTGCACAGACTTCGACTTCACAGTTTTATACAAAGTTGACAGGCAATGAAAATCTATCTAGATAATTACACACCTGTACTCAACCTAATATCCAAGGATCACTTAATTACACTCCTGTTGTGGTTTCTGCAGCTGTACTGATTTGCTTCAGAGTTGTGCAAAACTTTAAAGTCTCAGGACAGGAAGGTGAGTTGTTCCCCCATACTCCTATACTTTCTGAAAATTATTTGCCCTGTTTGGAGCTTGTTTGATTCCCCCTTGTCTGAAGGTGGACTCATACCATTTAAAGGCAGGCCTCTATCCCAAATGCCTAATTTCCTATGCAGGGTATGAGCACCCAAAGGAGCTGCTAAACTCCCTCTATTGCTATGTAAGAAGACAAAGCCAGTTACCTGATGGCTCAGTGAAGTGCTTAAGGCCAGATGACACAAGCACTCCTCAACAATCACTGAAGGCTTTTTCCTCATGCATAGTTTGTACTCCCAAGGTAGCTTTAAGGGTTTACGTTAGTAAACTACAAATGCATTTGTAGTTTACTACATGCATTCTCCTCTGCTCAAAAACGGAAGAAATAAATATTTCTATATATTTTGCAAGCTATCAGAACTGTCCCATAGCAGAACTGATCCCACTGCACTTTGCATGATGATTCAGCTCAGGTTGTAACGAATAGCACTTAATGGCATAGGCACTCATTCATAGGCACTCATATGTCAATCTGATCTCTTTTTCTAAAGGAATTAGCTATTTCTTGCCCATAGAGAGCAGATTGAACAAGCTGCTGATGCACTCATGTTATATCAGTTTCTAACTATCCCAGAATAAAACCAGAGCAACGTGGCAGTGAACAAGACCCATCATATACAAAAGAAAAATACTTATGTAAGTTCTTTTGCTTCTTGAGCAATGCTTTAACTGGTTTAGTAAGTATGGTGGCATTTGATTTATTTTCAGTATGACTTCATGCAGATCCTTTGAAAGAATTTCAAATGAATGATTTCCTTCTAAAGCACACAGTTTACAACAAAACAAATCATCCCACAGCATTTTTCTTGCCAGTGTGCAAGTCACCATGTTCCTCTTTTCATAGGATATGCTGCTTCACATCCCGGGTTTGATTTGTGTTCTTTATTGAATATAATTAGTAAATTGTACCTTTTTCTTCTCAGATGAGTGAAACATCAAAAAAGTGAATGACCACTTAATTTCTGATATCTTCATCAAAGATTTGCCTCTTATTTTCAACCCAGATATACACACGGATATTTGCATAATCAACAGTTTAGACTGTCACGATAAAAATACAACTGACTATTTTAAAAACTATGTTTGAAAAACTAAATGTACACACACATATATTTCCGAATAGCAGAATTTGAGATAGCTTTCTCATCAAACAATCTGTATATATTACATGGAGGCTCATTAAAACCTACCTTGCCTGTTTTAAGAAAATGCCGCACGTGGAAACAAAGTCTTTGACCTGAAATTTTGTAATGTGTGCACTGTACCCACGAGAGGTGGGCCCTGCTCCAGCACCTGGTTACCCACAGTGAATGGGACCTCAGCAAGTCTCACCAAATATAAGGGGTCTGGGTAAGAGCTTGCACCACTCACATGCATGCATCCTACTGTGGGGTTTGCACAGACCCCACTTTCCAACCCTTTCCAGCTCTTAAAATTCTCAGCTCCCTTTGACCAGGTTTTCCAGAGCAGGAAAACCCTGGAGTATTGCATACCTTTCTTTACCATTTTATATTTCCAGTCCTTAAATATTGAAGCGCTGCTGAATCTAGAAAGAAGTAAATTTTCTGTCTTGTTTTTGGTGACTCTTGCAGGTCTTTCCACCGAGTGTTGTGTTTTTGTTGCAGGGATTGGTATGAAGCATTCTGAATCTGTCAATAATAACAAAATGTCATCCGCATTCAGAAATATTTTCTATGCTTTTTCCTCAGGTAATATTTTCCTTATATTAAAGTAAAATTTTATCTGTATTTTCATCAGAGTAACAAATAACGTAGGAGAGGCCAGCTTTACCCATCAAATTCTGCTTGTCTGATACAACACAGGACACCACAGAATTAGTAGCACATTAGCCATGAGACTTGTAATAGGCACTTTTAAGTACACTTAATATTTTAGCCCCACAGTTTACAGTTCTTAACGTAAGTGTTCCTCCAGGTCTTGGGTTTCAGCTGATTTCTGCATGTACTGTTCTCCTTCTGGAAGTACCATTAGAATAACAGCTACCTCCATCCCCACAGCTCTGCTCAGTGTGTCTGCTATGACGCTTGGCTCCAGAGTAATGCAAGGTCACTGTGAGCACAATTTCTGTCTCACGTTGCCAGTCCTTGCCCAGACCAGAAGGTCTGGCTGATGGGAGGTGCTGGCTGGAGCCTCCAGAGCTTTGTGTGCCTACAGCCAACCTCCATGAATCCATCTATCTACAGGGATAGCAAGCGTTCAGGCACATGGTCATCACAATTTAAATGAAAATGGTGTAAACTATTCTTGGAAAATACGTGTGTCTGTGAACATCACTTGAATCAGTGTGAGGCTTTGTTCTGCAACTCTTCCTTTCCAGTAATTTTCCAGTTAGCATTTCATTCTCCCAATGGCTTGCCATCTTGTTTTGAAAACAAGAGTGTTATTCATTCCATTAATTCTCCAGGGATGCTGGTTCGATGCAGGGGGCAAGTAGTTGGCAATGCCAACTGCAGTGTCTTTCATCTTCTCTTACTGAAAGAAGTCAAGTGAAATTGTCATAGAGTTGTCCCAAGAACTGTGGCTGTTTTATTTATAGCAGGAGAAGTTTATCAGTTCACCTATCTGCAGTGGAGGAAACACTACAGAGCCAATCTCATCCACTTGAAAACTGTCCAGCTCCCTATCCTGGGGGCAGAGTGCTTTCAACCAGTTGTGTAATATTTCTAGCAGCCATTTTAGGAAAATGGAACTGCAGTTGAATCACATTTGGGAAAACAGGAACAGTACTAATGTAGCCTTCCTAGGGCGAAAGTTGAGCTGATGTTTCTTGTCCTGGGGCTGGGAAAGTCACTTTGTTTTCTTCACTTAAGAAGTCTTATTGCCATGGAATGGTTGAAAAAGACCTGGCTCTGGCACTTAGAGCATTCTGCATTTCACTTACCTCCTTTTTCTTCATGTGCCTTTCCAAAACACCAAAGTATTTATAATATCTATCTTACACATGCATATGCATATACATATAGACATACACAGAGAAAACACAGCTGGGCTCCAGCTGAACAGCAGGAGGGAGGTACACCCACACAACAGTAGTCTGCTCTGTGAGCCTGCCAGTGCTGCCAGGGTTGCCTTGTTCTTGACTGCTGCAAAGCAATAACAGATGTAGCACTGCACCAGCCCTGGGACTAAGAAGAATTAGCTGACTTTGAACTGCATTTGACATCCTCAAGCAATCATAAATTCAATTTATTTTACAATGACTTGACTGCAAAATGGAACTGATGACTGATCCTGAAAACTAGCAGTATGGCTCTCTTTTACATTAAAGAGGGTTTTGCAATTGCATTCTTGAATTCTTTCCTCCTAAAGAATTAGCTGCTTTACAACTTGTATTTGTAGATCAGCTTGAGTAAAGAGTGTATATATGTAATCTTTCTTGGACATGAATTTAAAATGTGATGCCAGAATAAGAGTACAGCGATACAAATAAGCATGGCAAAACCAGAGCAGTCTTTGCTCGGAGATATTTTATCATTTAACTAGATTGTCAAGGTCATTTACACTACTAGATCCAGTCAAAAGATATCACATCTTAAATGCATCACTGCCGGAAGGGTGTCCCTGTCACTGTCCCTCATTTCTCAGAATGAAACGGTCTCTTTTAAACTTCCCTAACCTTTACTTCCGACCTGGGAAGCCATGTGCAATACTAAGTGCCATGAGTGACATTATTCTCTGGTTATTTACAAATGATCAAGTTATTAAAAATGAGAAAATCTTAAGCCCTTCTCCACCTAAACATTTTCTTCTCACTGTTCACAATTTTCATGCCCTTTTAACATGTTCTTTCACTTGGACAGTGAACACTTTTCTACTGAAAATATCACCACAGGCAGAGAAAAAAAGAAAGCCTGGATCACTTAAATCCAGAATGTGTGTATACAACATCAGCTTAGATGAATCAAAGCATGGGCTGCAAATGGAAATCATGAAGTCATTTTCACAGCGAAGGACTCATAACAGCTGCAGGTGTAGGACAGCACTGGACTGCAACTATTCTCCTGCTCTAATTACAGTAGAAACACAGTACAGATATATTTTTCAGTGTCCTGGGGCAGCAAAGGAGTTTTCCAAATCCAGTATTACATTCAGCTTTTAGATTAAGTCTAATCATGGTTATTTGGATGCCATCCCTCCCCCATCAGGGGATGACTTTTGTCTTGCATCCCTGCAGGGATATGGCAGTTGAGCACAGGCCCAGTGGAGATACAGCATCATATTAGAGGTACCTCCACATGCTGCAACAGGCAAAAAATTGATGTGACAGCAGAAATCCATGGCTGCTGCTGCTTTTGGAGACAATACACAGGTACACATCACAGTTTTTGCTTTCAGAGTTCTTTTAAACAAAATAGAGGCAAAACACAATAAGCAGAGATACCTGAATCAAGATGAGGAAATTCTAAAAATGGGGGACAGGCAGACTTGTATTAAATAACTGCAGAGCAGACTGCAGCTGTCCTTAATGGGTGACCAGCTCTCACCAGGAGTCCAAATCCAGACTATTTGGAACAAGAGAGGGTTTTAAAAAAAACAGGAATAGAATAAAACATACAGAACTGGAGAAGAAAGCAAGTACCCAGCTGGCAGGATGGTGATAACTGCTACAGAAAGAAGTATATTCATTTCTTCTTCCAACAAGAAGAAACAGGGAGTGTGTTTGAGATGCACAAAGCACCTGCTGCAAAGAACTAAACAGAGATCCTTGTTAAAGTTATATTTGTATTGCTGCACATTTCTTGCTTGCTTTTTTTAAATGCCAAATTCCAAAACAGACTAATCAAAATGCATTCTTTGCATATGTAATTACTACCGTCATTTGAGGACCCAGCTTCTGTGAGCTCATGCATGAGAGTAACTGCTCATTAAGTAATTACATGTCTACCTGGTTTTTCCAGTGCAGTAGAATATATCTGGAATTTTACAGGCACACTTGGTGCTGAATAATGACATCACAAGCAGAATCAGGCACAGAATGACATCTTTACAGAGAGTGCCCTTCCAAGGGACCATTATATATCCCTTAAAGAGGAGATGGTGTTTTTCATTCTGCTGGAAATACAAAGTCCAGTGTCACCCTCATATCTACTTCTTTTATCATCAGGGTTTCTGGCCAGGTGTTGTTGGCATCCAGATTCCCTCATGATCTGTGGACATGAAACCAAGCTTTCAGCGGCAGTATTAGCAATGTCCACTATAAGCCTAGGTAGAAAGCTTTCCGTGCCTATGCCTAAAAATTGGTTTTTGTAAAGCATGAGCCTGAGAAATTCAGGATTTCACTCTGTCTGAAGAAGGTCAAGATTTGATTACAGCGGATTGAGCAGTTGCTAGCAAATGAGAAAAATACCTGTTTCCTCAAAGATGGCAGTAAGCAACTTCTTTACAAACTTTTACCAGGGAATCTTTAAAAAATACTTGGTAAAGTTATTAACTACATTTCAGATCAAGAAGCAGAATCATATTATTTTTATGGAAAAGTTTCATGCTTTTGAATTATCTGGCTTTGTTTTGGTTACATCAACAAAAATCTGGACAAGGAGAGCAATGATTGGGAACACAAGACTACACGGAACTCTTTTGAAAAAAACAAGCAAGGAAAGCATAAGAGGTACTAAACACTGTTCTCTGATTTTAGAATAGCTATGTGTAAGCACAATATTTGGCATCATTATGTCCTTATTTTCAATGGGTTTCAATGACAGCCTGTCATATAGAGCAAAGCGAAGTTGACTCTGTTGCCTCCTTAAAGCCTTTACCCTGGACTTTTTATCTGGGAAGAGAGCTGAGGTGCTGAGGCATCAGACAAAGGAATAATGAACTCAATTAGGGCCTTGATTAAGACGATGTTTCCCACTCTATCATCACTTCCTCTTGATGCATGAATGCTAATGTTAGCTTCGTAATTATGATCCAAAGCAATTAGTAACATTTGCTTATTGTTTTGAGAATGCCAAATGTTAAGTGCTACTGCCTGCCAGACCCCTCACCCTTGACAATGTCAGGGCAACTTGCCTTTTCCCTCAGCTGAGAGCAGAGGGTTCTTACCTCATCACCTGCCTAGCTGAGGCAATACAAATCTATCACTAAGGACCCTACAAGAAATACTGGGGTAATTTCAGTGCTTTACTCTTTCCTACTGGTAACTTCTAGTGGTTCATAACCATTAGCAGCAACTTACAAGATTTCCATAATGTGTGATCACTGTGATCTGTTTGCTTTAGGGGGAAAACACACACATGCTGGCAAAACCTCTTGAACTAAATGACCGAATGACCCAAAAGAGCAAATCAGCAGCAGCTCCAGTAACAAGTCCCAGATGCTCAATTCCACATCCTGTGCATTGGATACTGGATCAACTGTTGCACATAGGCAGTTACCAGCACAACCATATGTGAGGTCCCACACACCTCTGCTTTCCTCTTCCCTCTCATTCACTAAAAGCTTTTTTAAAATAAGGAAAAGTAGTTTTCAGCTTCCTTTTAATCATGTGCACCCACATGATTAAATGAAATGTATTGAAATGTATTGAATTTCATTAATGAAATTCAATACATGTCAACACTGGACAGCCAGCTGCAACATGCATGGAGTCCCTTGCCCCATTTAAGTGAGAATGCAAGAAGAAAAAAGCATTACCTTCTTCTCCAGCAACAGAGTTTCCAACAGCCTCTCTTTCCTGGTCAGCCTGGTTGGAAACCACACTTCCACTTTTTGTCCTTCGAAGAACACTGAATGCCTTGTTTATTTTTTTAAAAGATCTGCTTCTTATAGTGGAGCGTTCAAAGTGTCGAGCTGCAACAGCAGGAAAAAAATCAATATGTTTCAACAGTTTCAGACCCACATCATTTCTGCAGCCTTTGGCAGACAACAGGGCAAAACAGCAACACTTTGATGTCATGACTCCAAGACAATACCCACCTGCATGGAGTTACAATTATCCTACCTCTGTCCCACACCCTGACACTGCCACCTCTCCTGTCTATTCTGCCAGCCACATGCAGATATCTGTACCTGCAAGTGTGGCAGTGTGGGAGAAAATAATCCTTGGTCAGGGCAGAATCAGCAACAATCTAGAGAAAGACGTATAGAAGAGGAAGAAATACTGCCCTTCTCAAGCTACATAAGTTAGATCCTCCCCACCCAAAAAATCTGGAATTTGTTGCTGAAAATCCACTACTGCCTCAAAACCCTGGCAATGCTTCCAATCTGCCAACAATATTATGACAAAAATTCAAAGATCATCAGGTAGGAGGGACCTACTAAGTCACATCTTCTAGCTTGGGTAAGACAACACACAAAAAAATCATAATAGTTTCACTCTCCTTTCCATCCTACTGAAGATATTGTCACTCTCTTTGTGCTCTGCATGCTCGCCAAACATTGTAATCTAATAATACAACATTCCCCCAAACCAGACTGCAGCTTTTAAACTCTAGTGGGATTTAATTTCATCCTGATGTTCTTGCTCTGTCCCTTTCCATCTCTCTCTTTCTGCATGCACAGAAGGGGATATTGCTGCTCTTCGTTTAATCTTCCTTCAGCCTTTCATCCATTCTCCCAGCACAGGCCTGATGCATCACAACGCTTGGGAAACACAGTTTTGGCTTCAGAGACCGCAAATACAAGATTTGACCTCACTGTTAATACTTCTACATAAACCAGATTTTTCAATTACGATGCTCATCAGAGCCAGGTGGTATGCCATAGGGTGAAGAATCAAGGCAAGGAGCATCTTGTCCCTAACTGCTGTTATTTCAGCAGAAATAACAGTTCTGAAGTGCTCCTTTCTTGGAATCTGGCAAACACTTCCCAAGCTCCCAGAAACCTCTCATCATCTGTTTTACTCTAAATACTTGTCAACTGCCAAAAGATTTGTGCGTAGGTGCCCATCACATGGTCTGTAGGGACTACCTGGGCCATCACGTTTTGTTGAAGCTGTTGTTGCACCATCTCCCTGGCACTTCACACACCCAAAGGAGCCGACTTGCCTAAATAATCTTTCTTCAGACCTGCAGTTTGCCTGTGTGCAGTAAGTCTTCAGATAAATGTTGCCACTGGATAAGAAAATTTGTTTTTCACCTGAAATATATTGGGTCACTGAAGTTCCATTTGGAAAAGCCATTTCAAATTTTTCTCTAAAAAAACAGCATCCTCCACCAACATGCGTTTCACAGAAAACAGACGCTGGAAGAGCCCACCAGCTCCAAAACCAACCCTTTGTGTCCTTACTTCTGTTGCGGTTGCTGCAGTGCAGGTCCCTGGGGCCGCTACCCAACTGGCTGTCCTCCGAGGTGGGGCTGAAGGCTGGGTTCACCAGTCCTGGCTCGTCGGTCATTAAGGCGATGGCTGCAGCTGCAGAAAGCTCAGGGCCCAAAGCAGCTACTGCCAGGCTGGAGCTGCGGTCTGGGGAGCAATCCTGGGAACGCCGCTTCCGCTCCTTGGTAAGGCCATAGTGGGATGCTCCTTTGCATCTGAGGAGAAGGTAGGGAAAGGAGACGTGATTACAAACTGTATTGAAATGTTGCCTACTTATGGCAGTTGGCCAGTTCTGGGGAATTACTCAGAATGCAAAATGCGACTGTCACAGCGGATGATGATATACAGGCATGGATCAGGAAGAAAAATGCCAGTCAATTGTGAAGAAGGGAAACTGTTTTCCATACTAGCTGAATTTACATAGGAAGTCTACTGATGGTCAAGAGAAGAAAGAGAATTGCAATGAAAACTTCAGGCCCATAGTACCATTCAGTGTGGGTGAAGAAGGATGCATGAACAAGTGGCTCGTTACACCACAGACTGCAGCCTGTAATTTTCCCCTTGCCTCTGGTTAACAAAGGAGAGCATGGTGAGATGTAGCAGCTTCTCTATTTCTACTGGCTGAGTGAAAGGTATCTCACCCTGATCCACGCTCTGGCCAGCCTGCCTGATCATCAGGCAGTGACACCAGGAGCCCAGTGTCACATTCATTCATCCTCTCCAATCTTAAGGCTGGTTCTAAAACAATTCCAGGGAGAAATCCAGCTCCTACATTCTGACCTGGCTTTAGTAGTGACAAAATTCTCCATTTCTGATAGATAGAAGTGTACTCCCAGAAACAACTGACTTGTGACCCCAGCTGTCTGCTCTGGGCTCATCCCAGACAGCAAGATTGGGAGAATGCACGGCATTTCCTTCTCAGACTTCCTGAAGACTATCACTCCAAGCAAATTAGAGGTTTCTGTGCTCTTCTTGGTTCCATATATAATTAAAGATATAAAACAACCAAAGAGACAGAGTGGCCCAAGGAAATAGCCCTTGTGACTTCTCTCCAGCATCACTTTTGTGCCCTGTGCATGCTCTAGAACCTCATTTACCACGTTAAAAAAGAATCCACCTTTTAATCATGACCTAATGAGCTTGGCCTACAATTTGCTGCTACAATTCTCTCTTTCTTAATAGCAGAAGCTAGCTGATTACTTTCATAAAAATACACTGCAGGATGAACTAACAGAAATAGCTGCAGAAATCCTTAGGGATAGAAAGATCTTTGTAATATGTGGCATGCACAAAAGGCAATGCATAATACATACCATACACAGCGCTAATGGGTTAAGTGTTAATATGCTGAGTAGAGGTCTTGGGAGAGAGATGATTTATGAAAGCTGTGCCTGGGACAGAAAGATGAGACGAGGATGAATCGCAAATCTCTCTATGTTAGCTTTGGAGCAGTGACTTAAATTCTCTTACAGTATTTGCTTTTTAAGAGGGAATTAAATTAAAAACTTTTTAAAGCATTGAATTATGATTTACCATCACTTACCTCATACCACTTTGGATAACTTCCCTCTGACAGAAGAAAAAACCCAATCTGTATCACACTGATGCAGTTGTGTGGGAGCTTTGTACATACTTTAAGCTTCGGATGAGAATGCCTGTGGCATAGAATCTATTTCTAAGCCCTTTCAGAGCAAAAAGATACATCTCAAAAGAAAATACTCCCTTGTGGAAAAGAGAGTTGCTTGACTATTTCAAAAGATCAACAAGAAGACATCTGGTGCACCTATTCCAAGACAAGGCTGTGAAAAGGAGGGAAGAAGACCTCCTGTCTCCATTGCAGTTCCTTCTTCCATAAACAAGGTCTAAATTCACCACTTGCTTGAGCTCAGTCAAGCTGCATGTCCACCAGCACCTTGCACCTAAAAGGACAGGCATGATATTCTCCTTGTATTACTTTCTTTGCCAGTAAAGGCTTGATTGCTGTTGTTGGGGAATCAGCCCTGTAAATGAATCCTAAAATTATTATTATTTTCACTGGGTTGCATGAAAATCAGCATGAAGCATCTTCTCCCATGTAACTAGTGACAAGGCTCGAGTAGGCCTCAAGTTGCCCTAGGGGAGGTTCAGTTGGATATTAGGAAAAATCCCTTCTCTGAACGAATGGTCAGGTGCTGGAACAGGCAGTGCAGGGAGGTGTCTGAATCACTGTCCCCAGAGACGTTCAAGAAATATTTAGATGTTGTACTAAGGAACATGGTTTAGTGGGGAAATATTGGTGGTGGGAGGACTAGATTATCTTGGAGGTCTTTTCCAGCCTTGATAATTCTATGGCTCGATGATCAGAAGGGGCTTTGTGCAAAGATTCCCCCATGCAGCTGTAGGGTCCGGCTGCTACAGGTGCCCATCTGCTGATCACCCAGTAGCACCGTCACAGCCAGTGCTGCTGAAGACTTTACTTTTCCGTGCAAATATTAACTTGCTGCTGGCTGTGCTACAGACACCTGGTCACCAGCATCTGTCCAACTGCAGGAGCAGCTTTTGAACGCAGAGAGGACTGACAAAGTTTAAGATGTGGCTTATTGGAGAAGACAACTTATCATGACACAGAGCACAAAGGATATCTTTCTAATTCTGCCAGAAATAGTTAAAAGAGAACCAAGCATAAGCACTCCAAGCATAAGCACTGAATCTATTTCTTAAATAACTGTGGCAGGAATAAATGAACACAATGCAAGCCTTCTTTCTTCAGATTAACACAGTGTCCTTGAAGAATGAAAAAAGTACTCAAACTTGTAATAAAATCTACAACAGCATCTCTTCACTTTCATTGTTTTCCTTGTGCTGACACTGCTGTGATAACAGAAAACAGAAAGAGACAACTGTCTAAGTGGAATCATATTTATAGTGTCTCAGCTACATTTTTCCATATGGTTGGGTTTGGCTCCCAGAAAAGAAAGATCCATAAAACAGCTACATGCCAGTACTAATTATCTCCCTCACTGTGATTATTAATCAGCTGCCTGATTTACAGCTGGAGGAGAGGGATGGAAATCCCAGCAGGATACCTGAGTAACGGGGGGCAGCCCTAGAGTGAGCCCAGTGCTGTCTGATGGCCAAGGTGAACTGCAGATTTATGTTCCTTCTCAGTTGCTCTGGACAGAGGGTAATTCCATGCAGCCGTCTGATATCGAAATGATTGGAAGGCCAAAAGCAAGAGATAAAAACAGACATGAAAAATGTGTAGTACAGCCCATGACGTTCAAGTAGTGTCTCTAGGTGTGTGGGGGAAATTCAGAAAATGGTTTCTTCTGTTTGCACCACCTCTTTTGTCAAGCAGCAGCGTGCCATCTGAAATACTGCCTGCATGATAGTTACCCTCCGTGCAGGGAAGGATTGCTCCCTCCTGCTGTGGTAGCAAATCCAGTGGGGATTGGAGCCACAGCTCTGCTCACTTGCTCCATGGCCTCTGATCAAACCTAGGCCAAAACAGCTTCAGTACAATAGCTCCCCTCTGATCTTACACTGCAAAAAGCCTCCCACAAACTGTTCTTAGAAGGCCACAGAGGCTGCCGAACCTTCACCCGGCGCTGCAGACCAAGCTCCAGGGCTTACCGTGCCTGTGCCTGGCTCTGCATGCGAGGGGTCCTGTGGTCCCATCCCCAGTGGCAGCATGTCCCAAGTGCTGGAGTGAGGGATCCAAAACCTCATGTCTGCCTTAACTTGGTCTTACTGCTTATCAAAACAAGCTTTTGCCAAATCCACAGCCAACAGAAACATTACCAAGTTATTTGCAAATTCAAGTGAAAGAATCGGTTTTAAAACAAGAATGCATTTGCCTTGCAAAATCCCTAACTCACACTGTGGAGCAAGGGGAGCTGGAAAGTATAGCTAACCCCAAGGACTTCCATCATCCTGCTGGATGCAGGGGCAAAACATAAAGGCAAACAAGGAAAACTTCACAGACATTTCATTACTACTGATAAGAATGTACTAAAATTATAGGCCAAATACATATATAACACGTTTTCTCTCTGATAATCTGTCTGTGCCACCTCTCAGGCCAGCCCTCCTGCCCGTAGCTCACAGCTGACTGTCCAGACAGGGGCTGGCAGTGGCTCTGGAGCAGCAGCAGCACACAGTCGTGCTGTGGTACAAACAAACAGAGAAGCAGCGATCCCTGCCCACGTCGCGCCGCGCTTTCCTGACCTCGCTCCCAGCGTTCTCATATTTTGGTACTGTTTTGTTTCAGCGCAGCTGTGGTGGACACATTGTCTGAGTGCAATTAAGAATAATGTATACAAAGTACTCACAATTGCCTGGCAGAAGAAAATACTGCATAAAGGGCTGTCATCGCTGATCCCAAGCTAAGTCCTGATTAGGGCAGACAAGTGTGTTTCAGCTACACCCTCACTGCAAGTAGTATCATCCTTGTGTAATTTGGGCTCCACACAAACAGGATCAGGAGCACCAACAGCGTGCATCACACTCCGACTCCATCACAAAACCCCCTGATCACTCCACTATTCCCACACAGACCTATCAGAAAGGCTGATGGAGAGAATGAAAGCCACCAACATCCTCATAACCTCCCTTGTGAGGCTTCATGATGTGAACCTGCTGAGAGGCCCTTACCTTACCTGGAAGGCAGTGGGGATTTGAAGCAGTGTGGCTGCCTCACAAAGAGGTGCTGGCAGTTCCTGCCCCACAGGGACTGTTCACGCAGTGCGTGCAGCAGCAACAACTGCAGCCCAAACATAACCCAAACACCAACCATATCAATTTCAGGCCAAAAGCCTTCCAAAACTCCACCCTAAGCAAGTGGACCAACTTGGTCAGTCCACAGGCAGAGCTCACTCCAACTCTCCTCTTCTTACTTGTGACAATAGCACACCAGAAACCAGAGCCAAAAATGAAAGAGTGAAAAACCTGAACTCAAACTGAGTCTGGAGTTACATACACATCTAAATGAAAAGCTACCAAATGCATATCTCAGTTCCAGACCAAGAAGGCCAGAAAAATCAAAACACTGAACAGTGCAGGTGACCAATACCTGCTGCTCCATGTACCCAAAGGTGCAGTATTATCCTTGCTCAGAGAGTTGTGACTCCTGATCCTGAATAGGAAATTCCTTCCTTTTGCTTTATACAAACATCACTCCTGGAACTGAGGGCTTAGCAGCTTAGTGTGCTAAAGCAATGTTTTTTCCCCTGGTATT